AGGGTGGCTCGTATGTTGGGCTTGATTAGTGCTAATCTTCAAAGTAAATACACCATTAAAACAAACCGCCAGCCTTTGACAACGGACGTGATCGTTTTCCTAAAGAAAACCATCTTATTTACGGTTTCCCAGTTTTAATTGTTAATATGTGCCAAGAGCACTCAGAGTCCTGTTTTGCAAGATGGGTGGCGATAATAAATTTAATAAATAAAGGAGGACCGCAAGCCTTTATATGTTGGAAGAAGATCCATAGTTGATTATTTTTTTTAAAAAAAAATTCTTGTTTCTTAGGGCGGTGAAAACAGGATAGGCAAGCTGATTTTTGGCATCTGATATCTGGACACAATGGAATATCTGGGCAATATTGTCTCCTAAGGGGTTAACTGGAGGTGGCTTGAGCCAAACAAAGGGAAGATCAGCCATAGAGTTTTGCTTTCTGTTGGTTTTTTTTTTTTTGGAGGGGTGGGAGTTTGCCAAGAGTCCCCCGTTGTTTAATTTCCTCCTGGAAGCAGCCCAAGTGTGGGGCTCACCCCCCCCCCCCGTTTTTCCCTTTTCTTTTCTTTCCACAGTGACCATTGCAGAGGCTGAGCGGCTGGGGTCAAAACCTCCTCTATTGATCAGTATCCCTGCAGTCTCCAGTCCCAGCATCTGCTTCATTGGCTTCTTTCAGTGCCTGCTTCAGTACATTAGAATAGAAATCCATAACCAGAGCTGTGCTCATCCGAGCAGGGGAAGAAACTAAATTAAATGGTATAAAACAATCTTGGATCAGGAGTTTGCGCCAATTCATCTTGATCCGAGATGTCACACGGGGGCTCTGTGCCTGAGCACCTGGGCTAGGAGGCAGCCACAGTGAAAATAGATGGAGCTGTGATCATTCATTTGTCAGCTAAGGAGCTTGGCAGCAGTTAGCAATTCCTTTCTGCAGAGGTCAGCTGACAGAACAATCACTGCAACTGCAGAACGGAGCTTTCCTTTGAACTATTGTTATGGAGCGTGCTTCTTGGGCTGGGGTGTGGGTGGTGCGCGTGAGGGAGGGGAGCGGGAAGCAAGACTTTTCTTCCAGGGAGAAAATTAACGTAGGCAAAGCCATCCTCCCTTCCCCCCCCCCCCCGCCCTTCCTGTATAGGTTCGCCTACTGCTGCGGAGATCATATATGCAAATAGATGATGATTAAAATGGTTAGGTAACACTTAGCGTAGATCCCGTCTTCATTCTTCTCTGGTAGAAGGTAACTATGGATTTTTCTTAGCCCTTTCCTCCTTAAAAGATCACCCTCCAATCCGTTTCTCGGAGTATAATGCACTCATGCTACCAGAGCTAGAACTAGGAACCGGGTTCTCATCCCCCCCGCCTTACAAACCAACATTTGAATGCTGGTCTTTCAAGGGAGGAGGGAGAGATTGCCATAGCTTGATGATGCCTCAGCAGATGCTTTTCTTGTTAATTCACTTTTTTTTTTTCCAATCTTCCACCGTTGGCAATTCTTTCAGGGAAGCAAGGGCTGGTTTTCTGACATCCCTCAGATTTAACATCACAATGTAGTAGGAAGAAGTGAGGGTTGTTGTTGTTGTTGTTGTTGTTGTTGTTTTTCATTAAAGGCAATGAAAATATACTGAAAATGGATTTTGGGCAAATGGGTGGAAATATAAGTTTCTCTTCAGTACAGTTTTCAAGTTAATTTTGAAGCCAGGGTCCTCTGTAGCCACCAGGGACAGCGCACTTCCATCGAAGCAAGGAACTGACACAGTTATTCTGCTACAAGAAGTGTGGGCTATTTGGGACCTAGGACACATGCAACTTTTGAACCTCTTTTATACAACCTAACCCCAACCCCTCTGACCATAAATTCTGAAAATCAGAAGCATCATTTCCTTCCAATTTCAGGTAAAGAAATCACGAATCTTGGAAATTAGGCTTAGCATAGTTTGTTTGTATTTTTTAAGAGAAAACAAAGGGGTTATAGAATCCTTTGTGGGGTCATTATCTATTTTAGAATTAGAATTCTTTATTGGCCATGTGTGATTAGACACACAAGGAATTTGTCTCCAGTGCATAAGCTCTCCGTGTACATACAATTGTGAAGAGCTGTGGTGGCACAGTGGTTAGAGTGCAGCACTGCAGGCTACTTCTGCTGACTGCTGATTGCCAGCAGGTTGGCAGATCAAGTCCCATTGCCTCAAACTTGACTCAGCCTTCTATCCTTCCAAAGTCGGTAAAATGAGGACCCAGATTGTTGGGGGCAATAGGCTGACTCTGTAAACTGCTTAGAGAGGGCTCTAAAAGCACTTTGAAGCGGTATATAAGTCTAAATGCAATTGTTATTGTGATTGTAAAAATACATCCATCATAAAACATTAGATACAACATTATCCAATGCAGCCTTCATTTTCACAAGATCCCGAGTATGATTCTAAGCCAGCAAGATACTGTCCATTGTCCAAATTTTATACTCCTTTGCTAGTTTAATTTCTGAAGCAATCCCTTCCTCTCCCCTTCCCTCCACACATACCTTGGTGAATACTTTGAATAATTGGAAAGTACTGGTAATTTGTGCTTAAGTTGCAATATCATTCACATATACAGGTAGTCCTCGATTCACAACAGTTAGTTACAGTGGCGCTGAAAAAAGGAACTTGTGACCATTTTCCACACTTAACGACCGTTGCAACATCCTCATGGACCTGGGATCAAAATTCAGACGCTTGGCAATCAACTCTTATTGATGACAGTTGCAGTGTCCCGAGGTCACCTGATGACTTTTTGCGACCTTTTTGACAAGCAAAACCAACGGAGAAGCCAGATTCCCTTAACAACCCTGTTATTAACTTGTCCACTGCCCTGATTCACTGAACAACTGCAGCAAGAAAGGTCGTAAAATGGGGCAAAACTCACTTAACAACAGAAATGTTGGGCTCAATTGTGTTCGTAAGTCGAGGATTACCTGTAATAGCTATGTATATTTTAAGGCAGCCCAGAATGGATGTAATTGTATGACTCCAGGCCTGCTCTGCCTTTGACTATGGAAAGTAACATTTGTATGGATCATGGTCCCCACCCCAACCTATTGCTGAGGTTGGCTCCCATCCAACTGGCTTTTCCAAAAGCTCTAAAAACATGGCTTTGTCAGTGGGACCATGAATGGAAATGGAGTCGATCAAGTGGCTGATTTGATTGCATTGTCACTGCCACGTGAGATGAAATTGGGTTTTTTTATTATTATATTATTGATCATTTACATATTTTAAATGTTGTGAGCCTCATAGTCACCTATAAGTGGGCTGGGTGGCTAAATAAATTTGTTTAATAAATAACAATAGCACTTAGACTTATATACCGCTTCACAATGCTTTACAGCCTTCTCTCAGCGGTTTACAGAGTCAGCCTATTGCCCAGAGTATTCAGCAGGTTCTGTCCAGTTCTGGAGAACCAGTAGTGGAAATTTTGAGTAGTTCAGAGAACCGGCAAATCCCACCTCCGCCCCCATCTATTCTCTGCCTCTTGAGTCCCAGCTGATCAGCTGGTTCTTCTTTGGTTGCCCTGCACAGGAGAACCGAGCTGGAAAGCAGGTTAGTGGGATGGGGAGCGAATTGTATTTTGCAGTAACCTTCCCCCAGGAATGGGGAGGGAATGGGGATTTTGCAGTAACCTTCCCCTGCGACACCTACCAAGCCATGCCCATAGTACAAAATTTTGAATTCCACCACTGCTATCACCCTCAACTATCTGGGTCCTCATTTTACCAACCTCGGAAGGATGGAAAGCTGAGTCAACCTTGAGCCAGTCAGGATCGAACTGCTAGCAGTCAGCAGAATTAGCCCGCAATACTGCATTCTGACCACTAGCTCAGTGTTGTGAAGGAAAAATAATCTTTCAGTATAACAGAATAGCAGAGTTTAAAGGAACCTCGGTGCTCTTCTAGTCTTCTAGGCCCACCCCCTGCTCAAGCAAGAGACCCAATACGATTTTCAGAATTACTAGTACCAAAATCATGACAGGTAACAATCTCGACTTACAACCATTCATTTAATAAATGTTTGAAGCTACAGTGGCACTGAAAAAAGTGACTTATTATTGTTGTGGTTAGCCGGCAGCAGTGCAGATGATAGAGGAGAGCAAGGACTCAGATGAGGGGCCAGGACCATTAGGGAGTGGACTGCTGCCTTCAGAGATTGTGGGGGCTGGCAGCAGTGATGAGGTTCCCGAGGCGCCTGTGCCAAGTGCGCATGCACGCAGGATTGCTCGTAGGAGAGAGCAGTTAGAGCACCATGGGCGACTCGGGAGTAAGGCTGCAAGGTAATGGCCCCTCTATCAAGAGGACAAAAGCCAGTTTTGAAGAAGTGTTCTTTGCAGAAGGCAAAGACGCTCTGAAACTCAGCCTCGTGGACATTATAGTTAGTATTTGAAAACTCTTGTAAACTAGTTCTTATCTGTAGGTTTTTGGCAGCCTTGAAGAACAACTTGGCAAGGCTCTTTCTTGTCGGAGTTGCAGCCTTTTATCTGTGAGGAAACAGAATTTTTGAATGAAACCTTAAAAGATGGGGGCTGCTGCCTTTGTCTTGTGTTTGCTCTCTTGGAACCAGGTTGGGCCAGAACAATTATTGTTTTTCACACTTATGACTGTTGCAGTGTCCCCACAAACACATGATCAGAATTCAGATGCTTGGCAACTGTCATGTATTTATGACGGCTGCAGTATCCCAAGGTCATGTGATCAACTTTTGTGGCCTTCTGACAAGCAAAGTCAACGGGGAAGCCAGAGTCGCTTAACAACTGGGTTACTAACTTACTTACAAACTGCAGTGATTCAACTGAACACCTGCGGCAAGAAAGATTGTCAAAGGGGACAAAACTCCTTTAACAACTACCTTGCTTAGCTGTGGAAATGTTGGCCTCCATTGTGATAATAAATTGTGGTCATAAGTCAAGGACTAAACTGTCATTTCTAATGAAGCAGGTAGCTGTTTCATCATTCATGTCCTTGTACGTTTGCATTACAGGTACGCTGTCTGGACTTCCACAAATTAAAAAAATATCATTGTCATACGAAGAGAGGCGGAAGCAAGCTACCGCCATTGTTCTGCTGGGAGTCATCGGAGCAGAGTTTGGGGCAGAAATCGAACCTCCGAAGTTGCTAACCAGACCACGCAGTTCTAGCCAAATTCCAGAAGGTTTCGGCTCAACAAGTGGCGGATCCAACTATTCCTTGGCAAGGCACACTTGTAAGTTATTTTCTTCTTTTCCTCCCCTGTAATTCAACTGTTGCACTAAAGGTTTGTTAAACCATATATTTATAATATATTTATAATATATATAACATGGCCCATATATTTATAATATATATAATACAGCCCAACTAGAAAGGAAAGCATAATTCAGTGTAGTGCAGTCAGTGCAATGCAGTCAGTACGTTGCATTGCAGAATAGTGCAGTGCAGTGCAGTGCAATACTAAACTATACTAATATTAATGCTAATAATAATACAAGTGTCAGGGTTCCAAGTAACACCACCCAACGGAATCAAAACTCCAAGGCAGGCACGTTTCTCAAAGCATCGATTTATTAGGCATGTCATATTGGCACGTCTGGGGAAACCTGACTCTAAACCCCCCTCGGGTTTCCCCCTTAGTTAAAAGTAGAATTCTTTTCCTCCTGTCCATGCTATCCATAACATGGTCCAATCAGGTCAGAGTTTAAGGGTTGCTTGGTCACAGATCCCACCTCCTTGTTCTCAGTTCTCAGAAGAAAGAATTTTATTATGGCTACAATCCTCTATCTCTTCCTCCCCACCCACCCCCATTCCCACGGCTCGACTCGCTTTGCTGTGGCAGCCCTGAAAGTGCCAGAGGGCAGGGGTGGGATTCAAATTTCTTAACAGCTGGTTCTGTGGGCCTAATTTCTGGCTGTGGCTTAGTGGTCATGTAGCTGGGTGGGCGTGGCTTGCTGACTGGGCATGGCTTGGTCATGTGACTTGGTGGGTGTGGCTTGTATGTAAATATTATAAATATGTATGTAAATATTGAATTTTTTATTACATAAACGAGCAACTTTTACCCAAAATCAGGCGATTTTCACAGAATCACAGATTCACTCAGAGATCTTTCTGCCATTTGCTACCTGAGTCTGTCACATAAAATTTGCTTACAAGCAAACTCATAAAATTTGCTAGCAAGCAAACTTACAAAATTAACTCACAATACACCATGTATGTAAATATTGAATTTTTTATATATATAAAAAAGAGCAATTTTTACCCAAAATCAAGCAAAGCAGGAAGACAGATTGAGTTGCTCACAGAATCACAGATTTATTCAGAGATCTACCATTCTGCCATCTGCTACCTGAGTCTGCACTGAAAAATAGAAGCTTCAGTCCTAAGGAAGGTTCAGCTCCGCTTTCAAATTAGCTAGAAAGCAAGAAATCCAATGATTTCCTGCTTTCTAGCTAATCTAAATCTCCTGGCACAGCAGAACAGCTGATAGTCCAGGGGGATGGGGAAGGAAAAATAGCAACTTACTAAATGCATGCAAGTTTGATGGTGTGCATGCCAGGTAAGGAGTGAGTGAGTGGGGAGGGATGGGCCAGCCAGTGGCGTGATTTGCCTGTTTTCCAAACTGTGCAGAATCGTAACAACCGGTTCTATAGAACTGGTCTGACCAGGTAGAATCCCCCCTCTGGCAGAAAGAAAATAATTCCAGGGCTGACAACTAATACTACTAATACTATATTAACACTATACAAGTACTATGTTGTATTAATGCTAATACTATGTTAATACTGTACTATACTGTACTATACTATACTATACTATACTATACTATACTATACTATACTATACTATACTATACTATACTAAGTTTAGACCTAGTTGATAATTAATTTGCAGACCGTCAAAAAGTATCAGGATTGTAGACCAAACTGACAAATCAAAAAAGTATCCCAGAAATTGTAGTCACTTGAAATTGACTTGTGAGGTTCTTTACTTTTTACAATGTTTTTACCTTTTAAAATGTTCAATATAAATAAAATATTCAGATTTATGTGACACCATTAGTACAGCTTAAATGTCACAGATTATCCTTGTTACTTAAAGGCAAATATTACCCCTATATTGGTCTTTAAGGAACTTTTGAAGTTTTGTGGCTGGAGAAGAAATTTTAGGTTGAAGAGGGATCAATGTACAGAACAAATTCCAAACATGCCTGTTGCATACATTAAAACTGATTAAAAAAAACTTGTTACAATTTAGGAACAGTTTATGAAGTGACAGAAAAAAAAATAAGCTCAAGAAAAGAGAACAAATGCCTTTTTATGAGGGCAGAAAGCTTCATTAGTCTCTTGCTGATGTTTCGTTGTTATTGTTTATGGGGAAGTGTTTACATATAACCAATTTAATTACTAAGATTCTGGATATATTGCATTCAGGTTTGATATCTGTACATCATCCAGAGTGATGTTTGAAATCATGAAGAAGATATAAGAGGGAAAACCAGGAAACACTTTTTAGAACCAAAATATCCCAGCTTTCACACCTGAATAATAAATCTCATCAACATCTGTGACTTGAAATCATTGAAGCTCTATTTTCTTGGAACCATTCCCCAGAGGATATTCAATAACCTCAATTCTCAATCTTTGCCTTCATTTATACCAGCAGGCTCCCACATTTGGTAAAAGTGCAATTGAAGGCTCATGAAATTTCCAGATCTCACACAATTGCTCTGTTATAATTCATGGCAATAGATTTTAGGCAAGAATGTCAAAAACTTACAAGATTTTGTGATCTTCTGAGATTTTTGGCCATTTATAACTAATTATTGAAACACAAAGGTTATGCTTCTTTATAACACTATATTAAAAGAAAAAGTTGAGAGATTTAACTCAATCATTTTGATCCAATTTATACTTTTGCTGTTCATAAGGGCAGATCTTTCATCAGAGTTATACCACTAAATTTATTGAAATTTGACACCTTTAGTTATCATTATCATATTCTTACCATTAATTGTAGTTCTTTGAGAGACAAAATATTACCTGTCTGTAATCAAGCTTTTTTATCCTTTCCCATTGACTACTGCTCCCTTATATGGCAGAACATTGGTTTGCTCACCACTGGACTGCCATCTGTCAACAATGGTGTAGGGTTTGCTTGGGTGGGGGTGGGGGGGTTGGACTAGATGACCTTCAAGGTCCCTTCCAACTCTATTAATCTGTATCTAACAGTGGAAGAGTATCAGTCACAAATCTTTTTGGACTGAAAATATGGCTCCCCTATTTGTCCAGTGAATTCTGGATAATGTTTATGTTAGATCATACTCATCCTATGGACAGGTTCCATGCATATTTGAATTCTCAATCTTATTGCAAAAGGTTACTAAAATTGGGAAGCTAATAGATGCTTGGAATTAAATTTTACACTTACAGATGATTAAAACACTGATTGGGGATTTAAGGCCTAACTGAACTGCTAATGTAAATAGCTATTGTTTTTTCACCATGCTTTTTTTCCACATTTATCATTAGAATAGAATAGAATAGAATAGAATAGAATAGAATAGAATAGAATAGAATAGAATAGAATAGAATAGAATTCTTTATTGGCCAAGTGTGATTGGACATACAAGGAATTTGGTACATTTGATAATTCATGACCTATAACAATTAGTTTCATGTTTGCCTGATTGCTTGACCAGGTGGATATGTATGAGGGGTTTTTCTACCTCATAAACCACTGGAATGTACAATCCATCTGGATTCTGAAAGTCCAGATTTTTATGAATTACTAATATATTGTTCAGTGACCAAATAAAATATTTATCGATTAAACACAGATTTGTTCACTTTTTGAAGTCAATTCTAAAAGTTGTTTGCAAACTAATAGAAGGATATATTGTTTTAATTGAGGATCTCTTAATCACTTCAACTTGAATAGTTGATAATTAAACAATTAACAGCTCTCACCCTTCTCTCCCATCTTGGAAGTGTATAGAATTTAAGGAGATGAAGTGTTCTGAATAGCTGCTGCTTGCTTAGTCTAGAAAAAAAATTTCATTCAGCCTCTAAAACCAGTGGGCTTTATTAACTAGTTACTGGAAACTGTTGGTGACTTGATGTATGAATCCTGATAGAAACAACTGGTTTTTTTATATATGTAATTTCTTTGTGCTTACTTGCTCATGAGGCTTTTGTGTTTGCCTTTGCAAATGCCCAGCAGTGAGAACTAAATTAATGACCAAGTGAAGTAGAGGACTCTGAAGTTGTTTGGGTGCTACATCATCATTATTTAACAGACATCTTCCATGTCACATCAGGAAGTTGACTAGGCTACAAATTCCCTTTACAGGACATGGACACTTTTCTGTGAGTTTTAGGGGAAAATATTTGTTTACATCTAAAATGAAAAGTCCAGAGGAAAAAAAATTGAAACCACAGAATTAGACCAATAGTATGATCTATAAAGCATCCCCAGAGTCTCAAGGAAAAAAATGTAGCCCGCATCCTCAGTGCTTTTCATTTGGATTGGGCCAGTCACTCTGTTGTAGAAGAGGGAGAAGTTATATCTTAGATATGCTTGCTGCCTAAGATATTTACATATATATATATGTATATGTGTATGTGTATGTATATATATATGTGTATGTGTATATATATATATATATATAAAGTCTTATTTTCTCATAGGTCACCTAGAGTTGCTTTGGTAATTGAAGAAATTCCAAAACAAAACAAAAAATCCCAAATAAAGGAAGGGAGCACTCATTAAAGACTTATTCTTGAGTATAAATTGAGTGCAAATTATAGTATTTCTCTTAAGAACTTCTCATTGCAACAGCTTCCATGACAGATGGTCTTCCAGCTTCAGTTTAAACCATGAAAGAGAGTCTGCAACCTCCCAAAAGTAGTGGTTTCCATTGTTGAAGGATGTAATCTACCACCTTGCAATTTAAATCCATTATTTCTTGTTTGGCCTTCTGGAACAATATTGAACACGTCTGCTCCATCTTCCACATCACAGACTGTCAGTTACTCAAAGAAAGCTTACATAGCTTTCCACGAACTTCTCCAGACTAAAAATATACAATTATTCCTTATACATTTTTTTTTTCCTTCCAGGCTCCTTGTCATTTTGGCTGTTTGCCACAGGACATATTCCAGTTGGTCAGTGCTTTTCCTATAATGTGATGTCCAGAACTGATCTCAGCATTCTTGGAATGATCTGACC